TTTTGAAAGTCAGAAATATTGGATTATTTTTATGACAGAGGAAATAAGAAAATAGCGTACCAGTGTCTTTCACAAAGTAAAGGTTAAAAAAAATTTCAAAGGAGAAAGAAAAACAACGTGGAAGAGAAGATGAATTTGCAAAGTTTCGGAATTCATCGCGTGCTTATCTCATTTCTCAAATGTTCAATATCGCCAGAATCTGGGATAGGTTCCAAATTTTATCGTTACCGCCGTTGTGTGCATTGCTACATATTCAGTATATCTACCCTCACTTCGGCGCGCCCAGATTATGGTTGATCCTAATTCAAAGATCTGTCAGACGACGAGACGAGGCGTCGATAGAATCATACATCTCGACGAAGATTCGAATTGATCGAATGTAAAGAAGCACCGGGCGCGAATAATGGAGGATGGGTGTTGGAAAAAGCTGAGGGGGTAAAGGGGGAAAAGAGAGGATGGGGCGCGGTCGCGGTGTTGGATACCCGACCGATTTCAGAACGAGCCTAGCCAGACGCATATAAATTGGCTGCGCGGCATGAATCCCTTTACATTTTAATCGCGGCTGACGACACAACGCGCCGACAGGCGCGTGTTGCCATGCTCTTTCTCGTTTTCCCCTCTCGCTCTCTCTCCGTCAACCGCTCCCTACAAACATACAGCCGCAAACGCGTTCATCCGATGTTCGCGTTCAAAATATGCTTTCAAATTCGAAGATAGAAAAAAAGTTGCACACAGTTTTGTAACGTGATATTATTTTCGTATCCGGAAAAGTCGCGAAGAAATAAATTCGATCTTTTTTTTTATCCTTTTCTCTTCATTAATTTCTTTATTAATTTTCTTTCATCCTTTTCATATTTTTCTCTGATGCTGTTTTCTCAGACATTCTTTTCTATTTTACTTTGTGATTGTGAGGCTTCTTCCTCGGCTTAAGTCTTTCGCTTTCGATTCTACTACATTTTTTCTTATCTCTCTTAGTGACCACGAAACTCTTTCCTCGGAATAGAGTGCATTTTTGTATTTCAATTCGTAACTATCTGAAGTCGCGCTCCATACATACACATACGCACACATACACAACGTGGAACTTTCACCTTCTTTCAAATCCTATTACATCCTTTTCTATTTTCTTTTATGAGTGTGAAACTTTTTCTCCCTATATTGCTATACATTTTTTTTTATTTCTCTTTATGACTGCGAAGCTTTTTATCTTGACATAGTACTTTCATTCTTTTTTCCCGATTGCAAAGTGTTTCTTTTTTTTTTCCTCGCTCGATGTGGTGCTTTCGCTTTCTTTCCTATTTCGGAGACGCGTCATTCGCCGTCTCTTTCGATGGCATTTCGCGGTTCGCAAACAACGACGAAAATACCCTACCGCATCGTGGGAAGTGACACGATGACTAGGGCTGGCGGGAAGAGAGGAAAGAGTAAAAGAAGTCGGAAGGAGAATGCATGAAAAACATGAATACCTTCACAGGATATGCGTACTCAAAGGCTTTTCCATTTGCGACCCGTATCTGAACTCTGAACTGCGAAAGGCAAGAGCATGTTGAAATGTGCTGTATCGTAATCTGCAAGGGCGTCTTACGGTTGGAGATTTTAACAAAATATACTATATCGCATGAATTGAAGAACGAGTAAATAAAAAATACTTGCAGTATATTTTTTGGGAGATATGAGATATTGTCTACAATTTTCAAAAGATTTATTTAGATAGTACCAAGAATAGAATATTGAGGACGCTGAGATTTTCAAGCGAAATAAACAGAATTAAATTATTTTTGTATATACATAATGCTTTCGCATATTAGTTTAAAACAAGACTAATAATAATAATAAAATAATAAAAATAACATATATTTTACCGCCGATAATTTTATAGCTGATATGATGATACGTAAAACGGAATGTCACCTTGCATAAAAGACAAACGTATCTTATAAATGCGCTCCTCGCAATGAAAGAACAGCGACGTTGAGAGAAAAAGAGCGACTGCGCTTGCGCGGATTTCGATCAACAAGTTATCTCATGAATGTTTTTCCGTGTGAGAAATAAACGTGTGCGTTATATATTTTTCTCTCGGTGTCACATCAATCGATCGCGTAATCGCCCATTTTCTTCCAAGTAAGAACACCAAATTGCGAGTGTTGCGATTACGATAGCGTTTTGTTCATTACATTGCATTACCGTGTTTATACTGAATTAGACAATTTACGTAGGAAAACGAATATTTTTTAAAATATTCTATATGTCATTGATCTCTCTCGAAAGGAGGGGATAGAAAGGCGAAGCTTCGCCGACCTTTCCACTGTCAAACGTATCTTGGTTCTTGCACAGTGATGATTTCTATACAAACTCAGCACTTTAACTACCATCGGATTTTTCTACTCGCGGTTGGATTGTGGCCTTATCAGCAATCAAGGCTCGTTCAATTTCAGCTAGTCTTGTTTTTTAGTATTCTGATTAGCTTTATTCTATTCCAGGTACGTCTGTATTCTCAATCGTACTCCTATTTATAAAGATTTATTTATTTTAATATGATGCATATATTATTATTAATTATTATTATTATTAT